CAGGAAAAAAAATCCCATTAGTAACAAGATAAATAAAGTACTTAGGAGTAAACTTAACGAAGGTGGTTAAAGATCTGTACGCAGAAAACTATACAACACTGTAGAAAGAAATTAAGGAAGACACAAATAAATAGAGGCATATACCGTGTTCATGGACTGGAAGAATTAACATCATCAGAAAGTCCATACTACCCAAAACAATTTATAGATTCAACACAATCCCCATTTCACAGACATAGAACAAACATTTAAAAAATGTATATGGAATCATAAATGACCCTGAATAGCCACAGCAATTTTGAAAAAGAAAAACAAAGTAGGAGGTATCACAATACACGATATCAAACTATATTACAAGGCCAGTGTAATTAGAACCATCTGGTATTGGCATAAAAACAGACACATATATCAATGGAACAGAATAGAGCCCAGAAATAAGCCCATGTCTCTATGGTCAACTAATATTCAACAAAGGGGGCAGAAGCATAAAATGGAGTAAAAATAGCCTCTTCAACAAATGGTGCTAGGAGAGCTGGATAGCTACATGCAAAAAATTGAAATTCAATCAACTGACAACATACACAAAAATAAACTCAAGATGGATAAAAGACTTAAATATAAGTCGTGACACCATCAAAGTCCTAGAGGAGCACATAGGCAGGAAACTCTCAGATATCCCATGCAGCAATATTTTCACCGATATGTCCCCTAGAAGAAGGGACATAAAGGAAAGAATAAACAAGTAGGACCTCATCAAAATAAGAAGCTTCTGCACAACTAAAGAAAACATCAGCAAAATGAAAAGGGAACCAACTGTATGGAAAAATATATTTGCCAATGATACCTCAGACAGGGGTCTGACTTCCTAAATATATAAAGAACTCACATGACTCCCCTCCAGGAAGACAAACAATCCAATTAAAAAATGGGCAAAGGACCTGAACAGACACTTCTCAAAGGAGGACATATACAGGGCCCAGAGACACATGAAAGGATGCTCAGCATCATTAGCCATCAGAGAAATGCAAATTAAAACCACAGTGAGATACCTCTTCACACCGGTCAGAATGGCCATCATAAACAGATTAACAAATAACAGGTGCTGGCGAGGTTTTGGAGTAAAGGGAATCCTAGTACAGTGTTGGAGGGAATGCAGACTCGTGTAGCCACTGTGGAAAACCGTTTGGAATTTCCTCAAAAAGCTGAAAATGGAACTGCCTTTTGACCCACTGATTCCACTGCTGGGATTATACCCTAAGCATCCCAAAACTCCAATTCAAAAGAACCTATGCACCTCTGCATTCATAGCAGCACAATTTACAATAGCCGAGTGCTAGAAACAACCTAAGTGGCCATCAGTAACTGAGTGGATCAAAAAACTATGGTACATTTACATAATGGAATGCTGCACAGAAGAAAGAAAGAGCTACTACCTTTCACAGCATCGTGTATGGAACTGGAGAGCATTATGCTAAATGAAATCAGCCAGGTGGTGAAAGACAAATAACGTATGATCTCTCCTATAAGTGGAACCTAATCAGCAAAGCAAGAAGGCAAGAAAAAGATGACCAGCGACATTGAAAGAAAGAAAACGAAGGGTTGGGAGGGAGGGTGGGACGGAGGGGCATAGCGGGAAAGGGAAGGGTCAGATCAAGGAACAGGTGTGAAGGACACATTGATGAAGCCAAGGTAGGGACGGATTGGGGTGGGGCGGGGGAGGTGGCAGTGGGTGGGGCAGGGGAAAGTGGTGGCGGGTAAAGGAGAAATATATTTGAACAATATAAATAAATTAATAAATTTTAATAAAAGACAAATACCATATGATCTCACCTATAAGTGGAATCTATTCAACAAAATAAACTAACGAACAAAATATACCACAGGCATGGAAACATGGAGCAGACTGAAAGTGACCAGAGGGCATGGGGAAGGAGGCCAATGGTGGAAAGAAGGACAAGAGACTAAACAAAGAACATGTATGAATGACCCATGGACATGGACAACAGAGTGGGAACTGACTGTGGGAGAGGGGGACAAAGTGGGATGGGTGGAGGAAGGCAAAGGGGGAAAAACCGAGACAAATGTAATAGAATAAACATGGCTTAAAAATAAAAAAAATTAAAATAGACAAAATTAAAAAATAAAGACAGGAAAATTTGAAAAGGAGATACACTGGACTTTTTCCAAATGACAAGTACTATCAGTAAATTGGAAACTCAAAGAATGGGAGATTAATAGATTAGTCAGAAAATGAAGAAAGAATTTCTAAACTCAAATACAGATCTGAGGAATAATCAGGAATAAACAGAAAGATATGAAGTAATAGAAATTATAAAGAAAGGGTAAGTCAGATGCAGAATGTCAAAATATAGTATGTCCCAAATTCCAGAGTGAGATTCAGAAAAAAAAACCCAGAAAAGAGTTCTGCTGCTACTTAGGATGTAAAAAGTTGCAATGAAGGTCACTCTCAACATACCATCAGGAAAATCTGAAAAATCTATAAAATCATAATCTTCCTTGCGCCAGTCAAAGACTGGAAGTCACACAACAACCAGGTAAATAAACATTTTTCTCTTTCAAAAAGGACAGAACATAGAAACTGTTTATGTTTGGTTAAACATAGAGGAAGAAAGCAGACACCACACAAGTAGATAAGGAGAAATCAACTAAAATATTGACAAATTTGTAAAGGACAAGTATGAAGTCATTTAAAACAGATGAGACCCTGAGACACAAAAGGTCTTCATCAGAAAGACTGGAGTCATGTCAGCAACCTGGAGAGCTCCCCCAGGAGCACAGGCATGCAGAGGTGATCAGCTGCTCCTGGGGCATAAAATTAAGCCAGAACTCTTCTATGGTGGGAAGCAAAAACTCCAAGCTGTTGAAGAAGCAACAGTAAAGAAATAGGGGGGAAAGTCCATTATCTGAGGGAGGAACTGAAGTCAAACCCATCTGATTCTGGGAGAGGGGCAGTGAATACACCTGCTACCAAATTAAAGATCCGTTGCTTCAGGAAGAGGGGCAGAGGCAAAAACTTTTCTTCTGGGAGGAGGCAGGAAACCCACTGGGTGCCAGAACCTACATTAATATCAAGCCTACATCTACTACCACTGGGGGAAGGAAAAGGAACTCTCTCACCGAAGATCATTCATAGACCCAGGCAGAATTTGGCCGCACTGGGAAGAAGCAGCAGAAACACTGGAGAACCCTACCCTCAAGGTGCAAGTCCACAGGACCTGCCCGATACTGAGGACAAACCATGAAAACACAGAATTCCCTTTATTCCCACCATGAATCTAGCACCAAGTACGAGCATCAGTATCTACTGCTAGTGGCACATCAAGTGTACAGAGAAAGATCCCCCTCTGAGGTGCAAACACATAGGGACTTGCTGAAAGCAAAGAGTGGACTTGGAACACTGAGGAAAATCCCCCAACTTCCAAAAACCCATTTTAAGCATAAGAGAATTAAATTTGGATTTGCTACTAGAAGATATGGCAGGAAATTTCCATGTAAAGTAATCCTAGATATAACACAAAGTGCAGAAAAGAACAATTAAGAGGAAGGTTTGAAGGCAACCAAAATAACATGGCCAAAATAACACTGTAACAGACTTGTTATACCCAGCAATCCAAAAGACACTGGAAGGATATCTTTAAAGATGTGAAAGAAAAGTTGTCAACCCAGTTTTCAATGGTCAACAATACATTTCTGGTTTTCCTCCCACCACTCAGACAGTTCCTTTTCTAATTCCTTTGCAAGGTCTTTCTCTTTCATTCAGCAGTACATTTTAGAATTCCTCATGGTTCAGTTCCAGGTCTTTTCTATTTTCTTATTTTGCTCACAATTCAATTCTATATTTTTTCCATAGGCAATTGCATTCCTGTTCAAGGCTTTAATTTCTCCTTACTGGTGGATCACTCCAGTGTTATGTCTCTTACTTACACTGTTTCTCAGCTATCTATTTCATACTTTTACTTCAGTGTTTCACAGGCACTCAAGTTCACCATGTCCAAACTGAGGTTATAACCTTACCTGATTTGGTCCTCTTCCAATTTTCCCTGTCTTAATAAGTTATTGCCTGTCAATGACTACTGACCCCTCTTATTCAACAACACCATGCCCATTCAATTGTGCTTCCTAAGTATTACCAAATCCATCCTTCTACCCCAACTGCCATTATTGTAGTCCAAACTATAAACTTCTGTTGCATGAACATCTTTCTTGCTAGTCACTTACCCACCTGCATCTACTACTGCACCCCTTCAATCTGTTCTCCCTGCAGCATTCTGAATTAATTCCTTACAGAAAGTATGTCACACTTCTGCCTTCCTTAGGCTAAAACCTTTCAATAGCTCCATGTGGGTCTTAGTTCTGTGATCTCACTCCTTACCACAAACTCCACATAATGTGGATCTTTCATAATTTGCTTCATCTCATACCATACTCCCTTGTTTTGCCCTTCTCTCATCACTCTGGACCCCTGTCAGCTGCTCACAGATGTCATGCTTCATCCTAGCACAGTGCCTCCACAAGAGCTATCCTGTCGAAGACTTCTTTGTTTATGCCTATTCATTTAGCAGATGTCAGTTCAAGGTTCAGGAAATCATCACATGTTCTCCCCGAAAGTTAAATTCCTGATATATGCTTGAACAGCATTATGTAACTCTTCGCCGTAATATTTAACACAGGCACAATTTTAGATTTATTTCTCTGATTATTTAGTACTTGACTTCTCCATTAGGCTATAAATTCCATGAGGATCAAGGCTTGTATCTGTTTTTGCTCACAATTTAATTTTAATGCCTAGTGCCTAGTAAATATATAATAAATTTTTACTGAATGAAAGAATGATATAGAGAATACAGGCTAAAATATAAGCCATAATAATGACATACTTTCAGAAATACTTGATATTTACTCACCAAGAAGAGAGAAAAGGTAAACTCAGAACTATAACCTGAAAATAATCCTTAAAAAAAATTTGTAAAATGTCTTACCTAGACACGAATTCACTTAGTTCTGAATATGCGTTGGGCTCCATTATTATGTTGAGGTCAGTAATAACAGAAGATAAATTCTCCTTATTCTAAAATTTTAAAAAAGTTTATGTATCAGAGCACAGTAAACATTTAAATAAAGACAAAGATAATTTAAAAATTTATGCAAAATGAAATGCCACCAAGTAATTGGAAAAGGTAATCTACAGAAGGTACAGAAAATACTGGTTATTGCTAAAAGAATGAAATCAGATTCTTGCTCCATACCAAAAAGACAAAATGAACTTCAAATGAATTACTTACCTAAATGTTAACTGATTGCTGAGCAAGAAAAAACTTTCTACAAAACAATAATTAAAAAGTAAGCAGATCAGATAAAAACTCATAATATCTATATAAAAATAACTTTATAACTAAAAGAGAAGCAATAAACTGAGTGAAAATTTTACTATAAACAAAACAGAGATAGGAAAAGTGAAAAGGGCAAAGCACATTAAATAAAAACTTGAAGGTGAAAGCCAATTTACATGAAAAGCAATGTTCACTCTCACTAGTAACAAAATAAAAGTAAATTAAAACAATAAGATGAGATTTTTTTCCTATAAAATCATTTGGGAAATGCATAACTTTAAATATTCATAGTCTCTATCCCAACAATTTGACTTCTAAGAAGTCAGCGATTTGACTTCTATCCTGACATAATAGGAAATGAAGACAAAGCCTTCTGGCTATTTATTACAAAAGGGAATAAGCAACTCAATATTCAGTAATGGGGATTGCTAAATAAATTTACATATTTTGAAATGCAATTCAGATTTTCTTTTTTATTCTAGTGAATTTTCTTCTATTATATATTTGCCTATAATTTCTTTCACTCTTTTCTATTCTTGTTTTTGAAAAAATCATTTATTAACTCTCTCTTGTCTGTCTTTCAAATTTTTCTTCTTCTCAGTTCTTCTTACAGGTGATTTTTTTCTTCAAGCCTATCCTTCATATTCTACTCTTGGCTACTTCTAATATAGTTTTCAGGACTATAATCATTATATCCCCCAATCTCTCCTTCCTTTCTTCCTATTCTCTCCCTCCTTCCTCCCCTCCTCTCCCCTCCCTTCCTCACTTCTTCCTTCCTTCCTCTCAATTCTGTTACTCTTTTTCTTTTCTTTTCTTTCCCTTTTTTTATCATCACCCAAGGACATGCCCATTGATTTTTGATTTTTTTTTTTTTTTAAAGAGAGATAGGAGAAGGAAAGGAGTGAAAGAGAGAAACATCAATGTGAGAGAGAAACACCAACTGATTGCTCTTCATATGTGTCCTGGGTGGGAACTGCACCCGCAACCCAGGCACGTACCCTGACCGGGAACTGAACCATGCCTTTCTGAAATGATTCAACAACCAACTGAGTCACACTGGCCAAGACTTCTCTGCTACTCTCACTCAATTTTCTTTAAGTACTCTCATTTGAGAGTTAGAGTAATTTTACATAGCAGTTCTTGTACTTTCTGGACTGTCTTCCAAAGTGACTTCATCTCCATTTTCTTAATAATTTCGTTTGTGTTAGTATTTTTGCATCGGCGATGATGAAAGAACTCTACACCATCTTTGTGCTGTGAAATCTGTGGCTCCTATTTATTAATAGGAGTAAGTCTAGAAATTTTTGCTATTTCCTAGAAGCAGAGTGATTGGATTCTCCTTGATTCTTCTTCATTTGTCTAAGCACTATCTGACTTGTTTCTTTGTATTTGAGCTGCTGGAGAATTGGATATTGATGGTTTATAATTGTTTAGTTTTTTAGCTACTGAGGGTATAGTGGGAATTGTTAGGTGTAAGTAGCCATCTACCACTCTGTATCTAATCAAAAACATACATTTCAGAGGCACAATTACAATTCAATAATAAAAAGACAACTCAATTAAAAGATCCCAATTAAAAGAGCAAAACATCTCAGCATTTTTTCAATGATATATAAATGGCCAGCAAGCATATGAAAAGATGCTCAATATCACTAGTCACCTGATAGTTCAATTTGACCCAGTAATTCTACTCCTAGATATATATCCAAGAAAACTGAAAACAAGTCTACTTAAAAACTTGTACATGAGTGTTTATAGAAGCATTCTTCACAACAGCCAAAAGTGAAAACAACTTCAAATGTCCATTAACTAATGAATGAATAAACAAAATGTGATAATAACCTGAAACTGGATTATTCAGCCAAAAAAGAATGAAATGATGATACATGCTACAACATGAATAAACCTTGAAAACAAAGTTAAAGAAGCCAATTGGAAAGACCACATATTATAATTCCATTTATGTGAAAACTGTTCAGAATAGGCAAATCCACAGAGAGAAAACAGATTAGCTGTTGCTTAGATCTGGGCAGAAGGAAGGGGACTGAGGAGTGATAAAGAGTATGGGGTTTCTTTCTTCCTTTCTTTTGAAGACTTTATCCATTTATTTTTAGAAAGAGTGGAGGGAAGGAGAAAGAGAGGGAGAGAAACATCAATGTGGGAGAGAAACAGCAATTGGTTGTCTCTCCTACATGTCCTGACCAGAGACCGAACTCACAAGCAGGAATGTGCCCTGAAATCAAACTGAACTATCGACCTTTGGCTTTGAGGGACAATGTCCAACCAACTGAGACACCCCAATCAGGGCTGAAGTTTCTTTTTAAGGGGATAATTTCCTAAAAATTGATGTAGTGATGGTTGCACAACTCTGTGACTATACTAAAAACTACTAAATGTACGAGTATACATTATATGGATGAATTATATGGTATATGAATTATATCTTAATAGAGCTGTTACAAAAGAGAAAAAAACCTTAGAGGCACATATTGTCTTTTGTTTGAGTATGTGTGGGTGTGTAGATTTTGGCCTTTCACCCATTGGCAGAGGCAAATAATTCTGTCAGCATAAAGGTTATGATTTACTGGCCCCTCTGTTATTTATTTTTGGGGGGAGGGGAAGGTCTGGATTCTGTTCAGCCACTGGATTCTGTTCAACCACTGAAAAGCTGACTCCAAGATACAGTTTTTCCATCAATCTCTGGCATGTCATACTGCTAACCAGGTCAATCTTCTCCCGTTGGGGAACAAGGGAAGGGGGCTTATGAACAAGTTGACCTCAAAGACACTGTCTGAGTCTGAGCAGCACATTCCTTTCACCAAAGTCCATTTAGTATAAGTCCAAAGTTCTCATTCTTCACTTCAGCTTAAAAATTATGAGTAGAAACAGTCAAGAAAATGGTCCCATAAACTTTGTAAAATTTATATACTGCTTACGAAGCACCCTATATCAAATTTCAATGTTTTCTGTCACTCGCAGTTGAATGTAATTGTATCAGGTACATTTTCTTTGATGCGTATGATATAGGAATTTTTTATTTTTTTACTTTTAACTTTAGAGAGGGGGAATGGGAGAGAGGAAGAAAGAGAGGAAGAGAAACATTGATGTGAGAGAGAAACATCCACCAGTGCCTTCTATACTTCCATATGTGCCCTGATGGTGAACCAAAACTGCAATCCAGACATGTGCCCCAACCAGGAATTAAACCAGCGACCTTTCATTTTACAGGATGACATCCAACCAACTGAGCCACACTGGCTGTGGCAGGATTTTTTTTTTTTTTAATTAATAAGTTTCCCTATTTGGCCCTGACTAATGTGGCTCAGTTGGTTGAGTGTCATCCCACAAAATGAAAAGTCACCAGATCGATTCCCAGGGCCCAGGGCCCAGGGCCCAGGGCATGCCTGAATTTCAGGCCCAGTTCCCTGGTTGGGGTGTCAGTAAGAGGCAAGTAGATGGATGTTTCTCTCTCACATCGATATTTCTCTCTCTTCCTTTCTCCTTCCTTACCCCTCTCTCTAAAAATAAAGAAAATCTTTTTTAAAAATAATAAAAATAAAAAGTTTCCTGTTACTTAATCATTTTGTTCATTTCATTGGGCTTCAGGGATAAAAGTTATGAAAACACTGTCAATCTGTCCCTTTCCCCCAAAATCTCATCCACCTCATTTATTATGTTTCATGGACTATGAATGCTGACACATGTCAATGCTGATGTTCTTGTAACTCCACACAAACTGCACGGGACAAAGAACACCAGACAGTAAATCTGGGGAACTGAGATGAATGTCCCAACCACCTATGACAATAGTTATGTCAACATGGGTAATCGTTCAAATACTCCAAGCATATTTCTGTTACAAAATAAGGGGGTTGACCTAGATAATCTATAAGGTCACTTTTGATTCCAACATTCTATTATGATTTTTGGTCATTTTGCTTCTAACATTGTATTACCATGATTTTACCATAAAATGTATTACAACATTCTATGAAGACAGAAATTATTTAAATTTTCTGGTAGCTAAACAACTCCCTCTAGTGGAAATTTTGTTTAAAAATATTTTAGTACACAGAAGATCGCTGTGTCTTCACCACTGTTTTTTTTCTATCAGTCTCAATTATAAAAATCTGTTTAACATGTAAAATGGTAAAACCATTTTAAAAGGCACTGTGGTACTATCAATCAGAATTTACATGTACATCTCCTTTGACCTAGCATTCTACTAGAAATATATTTCTAAAGATATACTTAATTATATGAGTAGGCCTAGAATATGTGAGGATTTACCATTAAATAATAAAAATTTAAAAACTAACTCTCACTACCCCATTACATCATAATTCTAAGCAACAGTAAATAAATAAATAATAAAAATAAGATAGTTCTTTGTTCCTTTCTTCTCCAAAAAAGCCTGAGTCCCACATATAACTTATCCCTAGAATCTTGCTGATTCAAGAGTTGCCTGTGATTGCTCTCAATATCTTGCTTACCAGTCTAGTCCTCAAGAAGAATTACAAAATTGTAAAGGAGCAGAGAGAAAGTGAGTGCTCTTAACATACACAGGGAGAATATGCTCTTTCTGCAGCCAGGTAAAACCAAGCAGTTCAAAAATACCTACATACTTTGAAATGTGAACAATAACAACTCACGTCTCTTTAAGAGACTTGGCAATTACTGTGTTCTGTGTCTTTCAATGAATATCAACTCTTCCTCTCCTCAGATGTTTTTCGCCCCATCTGCTAAAGCATATGGGACAGAAACTGCTGGCACCCCCAATTCTTCTTTTTTGCCTCAAATCTTCATTAGGTAAATAGCCATGCAAAATGAAAACCAAATTTCCAGCCTCCTTTGCACTAAATTATTAGCCAAGAGAACAGACGAAAATTATGGGCATTACAATCTTTTAAAAGTGTCACTCTAAGGAAAAAGTAAGCCCTTTTAAGCCCTTATTTGCCTACATTCCTCATGATGCCTGAATGGGTGATTTATACCATGATTTGGAAGCCATGTGGATGATGGTAGAGCCTGATGATCATGAAGCCCTTGAAAACTTACATGACAATTTATTTAAGCAACAGAGAAACAGACTTCTATTACCTGAAACCCCGTTTATTTTCAGGTTTTCTGTCATGTACAGCTCAACTAATTCTAATTCATTCAGCATGTGAGCTAATGGTGTAACCTTGGGCCATTACCAAATGGTTAGAAAATTTTCAATCATGCTTCGGTGGTAGGGAATCAGAATATTAGCTTAGAACAGTGTTGACAGGGAAGTAAGGGCTGGGCTGGTGCTGCCACTACTTAGTAGGAGGCAGGAAACATGGCCTCTGCAGCAGGGGGAGCAGGGACTGTGTGTCAGGGCCCACAAGGCTCTGGTTCTGTCTGTGCTACCTCACAGCGGCCACCCAGGACCAGCAAGCCAAACCACTGCAGGAGCGGCGGGGGCCCAGCGCCAGTTCACCCTAGGACGGACTCCAGTCAGGCAGCAGCCATTCTTCAGGAGCACACCATGTTATAAAAAATGTCCTCAAACTGTGACCTCATCTTTGGTCTGACTCACAATGGGATCAAATACTGTCTGAAGCTTTCCTTCTGAGCCTTCAAGGGAACCAAAGTGTGCAGCTTAAAAAAAAAAAAAAAAAAAAAAAAAGGAAGTTAAAGTATGTAGTCTAAATAACAGAAAATGCAGTCCATTTTACATTTCTCAGGCCAAGCCCTACTAGTGAGAACACCAATCAATCTTTGGGCACAACCCAAATGTCCAGCTCCACTGAGCAGCTCATTCACCTCAACTTCAGAGGACAGACTCTCTTTTCAATTGGACTTCTAGATAAATGTCCCAAAGGCAAGCCTGATAACCCATGGTATGACTGTGAAAACAGATGAACACCTATAGAAGAAAAGCCTGCAGGGCCGCAAGGCTACGAGGATACCCCGAGAAGTTTCCTGGGACATTACTAAATGGTCAGAAAATTTTCAATCATGCTTCAATCATCCACTGACAGTACAGATCTTTTTAGATATGGAACTGGACCTCAAGCCTATAACTCCACCACCTGGCATGGAATGAAGGCAAGGTCCATTAAATGAAGGTTAGAATGCAGGTGAGCACTTGATGTTTTACTACTCTGAGTTTAGGATCACATTAGATAACAAAATGCAGTTGGTTCTTTTGTAATGCAAGCTTTTGCAATGGGACAACATCCACGAGTTCCTGAGCTGCACTAGGAGAAGCCTGGGGTCCTGGTACAAGCCATCCATCCTAAAGGAGACTAAGCCATTTGGGTCCATGTTCTATTTGACTTTTCAGCAGATGATCATGCAGAACACTCATACCATTTCAGTGACCCTACATGGATCCAAGACCTGGTGCCAACCTGGGAATAATACTTCTCCCTCAGGGCCACTCATTACCTATGCCCCTCACTGTGTCCTATTCTGCTCCACTAGCCTTGGCAATGTCACACTGTGGATGTTTTTGGTCACCCTGGCAGTGTTGAGAGGGGACACTCTGAGCCCTGGCTGGACAGCTCATTTGGTTAGAGTGTCATCCTGATACGCCAAGGTTGCAGGTTTGATCCCTGGGCACACATAAGAATCAAACAATGCATAAATAAGTGGAAAAACAAATTGGTATTTCTCTCTTCCCCCACTCCCACTTTCTCTAACTCAAATCAATAAATACAAATTTTTTTAAAAAAAGAAAGGGGACACTGTGACAGAGCAAGCTGGGACCTCTGTCATCTGATGAGGGGCCTAGAAATCCCTAAGCTCATTCTCACTCAGCCTGTTAGCGTCAGTGGTGATAATTGGGCTATGAACTGAATAGAGTTCTCAAGAAACAAATCCTCAGGTACAGATAGCTGGACCCAGGCACTCTTGACTAGTTTCTAAGAAGAGAGGGTCCTGATTACCAAACATCAACTCCTGTCCCATATAAAGAGAGAACTTGGGGCTGTTTTTTTGGCTGAGGACAAGGATGAGGAATCCTGGCACACAGCCATAAATGCAAGTGAGCACCTTGTCCATAGGACTTAGGACTTGGTGTAATGACTAGTTTATAGCCACTTTAGTTATCTGATGAGCTTAAGCCAAGGCAACCTTCCTGCCCTTCCTTGTTCCTGTCCTCTACACACTCTCTTGGTAGGCCCAGATGGCAAAACCAACTGGTTCAAAGTGCTTTCTGCTATCAAAGCATGAACCCCACCCTGGTCAGTTCACAAAATTATGCTGGATCCCACTCTTGGCAGAGCCAGCCTTTAAAGATGTCAGAGCTTTATTCTCCTACTCCATCGTAGTCTCACCCTACGTATTATCATTCAGTCTGCTTCCTGATTTTATGTGAAAATCTGAGTCAAAAGTATTCTCCTTCTGTGTTGTGTCTCAGAAGTCTAGTACAACTTGCTGACATAACTGTGAACCACCTTGAAGTCTAATCCTTCAGCCCAGATCAGATGGCTGTGGTCCCAAATGACCACAACTTCATGAGGGGCCCTAAGCAAAATACCCAAATTCCTGACCTATAGGAAATGGGTGAGATAGTAAATGTTGTTGTTGTTTTTAGCCATTAGATTTTAGGGAAACTTGTTAAGCAACAATAAATTAACTAAAATAAATGGCTGGCATATCAGCTAACTACTGAGGGCACCAAGGACTGTTCCCATGGCCTCAGGGCTTGCACTGGGAGCCCAAGAGCACCTTGTAACCTACCCTTCAATAAAGTACCTATACCCTCAGCAGCAAAAATACGATATGCAGTGTTTGGAGTACAGTATTTGTACTTTGAAAATGTTATGCAATGGTATCGCTTTGCACAAATATGCTACAAGGAGATCCTGGTTCATGAACTCCTCCTCAGCTCAGCCATTGCTGGGGGCAGGGGATGGGGGTGGGGATTTTTTATTTCAAAGCAACAGAATCTTTGTTATCACAACATATTCTTTATTTTACCTGGACTTCCAGAATCTGAAATTCAACTTGAAATGTAATCATGTGGCAGTTTCCTGATAATTTGTGTCTCTGTATAACTTTCTTTATACCTATCAGAAAAACAAATATTTTATTTGCAAATAACAGTTTCCTTCAAATATCCATAAATTAATTTTATGTGAATATCTCTAATATTCATGTGGGTATATGTGTGAAATATATTTTAGTGTTGGCATTGAAAATATCTAGAGTACTGCACACCAAATTGATTACTTTTGTAAAATAGAATTAAATCAACTTGTACTTTTTAGTTCTCAATTATACAAAAGATTACGATAAAGTATAAATATTTCTCATGTAACCACCTCAGTAGATCAAGATACAGAAATTTTAAAGTACCTAGTGAAGTTGCCTCATGCCCTTTCCCAGGCTATACTCTACCCACCCCTGCCAAATAACTACTATTCTGACTTTATCAACATTTAGATTTACTAATAAAGGTATTTTTAGAAGGGCACAATTCTACAAGGATAAAAAGAAGGAGAAAGATGAAAGCAACCTAATTTTGAAAGTTGAAAAGCATATGGATGAGCTAGATATCACATGGAAAAGTAGAACTGACTGGCAGACCCAGGAAAACTGAAACCTAAGCCAACAATGGGGAAAGCTCAGAATCAAACCAATTTATAGAGCAGAATACCACAAAGGCAATCTGAATTGGCAGAACCAAGTACTTCACCAGATCAGGTTGAACTTGGGGCTCAAAAGAGGAAGACTGAGACTTTTGTACTAATAAAAGTCTACCTGGCCTAACCTCACTCTCCATTCTCTCTGCATTTCAACTCGTTTTTTTTTTTCAAGTACCTGAAATGTCTAAATACCACCATTTCTGTATGTAGCTCAAACTTCCACTGAGATGAGATAACCACACTGGGGGTCACTTCAGTGGGAGTCAGAAAGCATTTCCAAAAGTGATTCCTTCTTTAGGGAATGGTACTTCTGCTAAAGCTCCTGATATCTAATTGCACAGCTGAATTACCTTTCTCTTTCCTGTTAATGCATCACAGATCCCTGGCGATAAAACTTAGTTATTGAGACCAGAAACCCTCCTTGGGTAAATGGTCCAGCTGCTGAAGCATTTACCTTGGCCACAGGCTATGTTCAATAGCAGTACAGTACTGTATATGAGGTATCTCTCATGTCAGTGGTGGACAAATTCCTAAGATCTACAAATTAATGGTACTGTTATATTACAATCACTCCTCTCTCCTACTTGACTATTAAGTTACTTAATAAAACATTGTCTCCTTAATATCTGCCTCAGGCAGCTTTTAAAAGAGTAACCGGTATATTGTGATGATCAAGACACCCTACAAAACAAGGCTTACCACAACCACACATTCCAATAGTTACCTTGCAGAATTTTAATTCCACTCTATGCCACCCAATTTCCTATGCATAACAAGGTAAGCTTCAACACCACTTCTAGATTAAAATGAACACTTACTCTTTTCTGTCATCTCAGTGCTTGTTAGGTTCTCTGTCTTCTTGGAGTAATTGCTTATATTGATGTCAGTAAGCATGCTTAGAAAGAGAAGTTCTGATTCTAAATGTCCCAGATTGCTCCTCAGATCTTCTGAAGATTTCCATTCTTCAGAATTGGATTGGTGTATTTCTTGACATGATTTTCTAAAAAGCAAATATTGGAAATAATTACTCCATGAAGCCATCTAAGCCCTGGACAGCGTAGCTAAGCTGGCTGGAGCATTGTCCCATAAAGCAAAAGGTCACAGGTTCAATCCCTGGTCAGGGCAAATACCTAGGTTGCAGATTCAGTCCCTGGTTGGGGAGTACGAGAGGCAACAGACTGATGATTCTTTCACTTCCTCTCTCTGTCCTTTCCCCTCTCTCTAAAATCAATAAGCATGTCCTCAGGTGAGGATTAAAAAAGAAACCATCTAATATCTACAAATTTCTTCAAACCATTCCCATTTTGTCCTTCTGACTCTTTTTCCATTAAAACCAACTCAAAACCAATATGGCTTACTGATACTGCAGCCTTTAATCACAACAATAAAACAAATTTAACCAAATTATCCTACCCTATGTCTATATATTCAAAGTAACTATAAAAGTATTATCATGGAATATTTTACAGAATTAAAATGTCCATTTAGGTAGGAATGTTTAAAATGTTCCAACCTAAATGTGTGATATAAGAAGACATCTCAAATTATTTTAAAAGACGTCATGAAATTAAAAACAAAAGAAATTAGCAAGCTTTAACTTCCAAAACAAGTAAAATATCAGAGAGCATTTTATGTTAAGAAAGGGATTCTCAGGAAATCTGAGAATACAGGGGGTAAAAAAATTCCAAAAAAATAAGAAACAGCATACTTAACACCGCAAATATTCTTAATTGAAAACATGTAATTCTATTTTCCTTGAAAAATGGTAAAATTTCAGCTAATATTCACATGGAATGGCATTTTACTTTTTGTCACACTATATTGCCCTCATACAATGTTGACTTTTAGTAACCATCTTAAGAGACACCTTCCTTCAACTCTGAGGCATGATTATCCTAATTCTAATTTTATATCTTGGGTCCTCCAACTCTGTATTCTTCACACTAGAGATCAACCATTTGTACAAAATCTATAGTAATTTTTTAAATGTTGTTTTCATGTTAACTTGAAATATTAAAATAAGAATATTCTGAGACTACCACATGCTCTTTTGTATTGGCCATCATTAATCACTTTAATAAAAAGTAATAAAAAATTACTTAACTTTATTACTTTAATAAAATTAAAATCTAATAAAAATTTATCACTTTAATAAAAATTACTTTAAATACAGAATATTGATGCAAAAATAGAGAAGCAATCTTCATATACAAATGTTAAGTTCCTTCTAAGTGAATAGCAAATAATATCACAGCAAACTATGAATGAAAATGTTAAGGTATTTCTAATAGAGCAAAGTGATAAGAAAACTAAGTCATATTAAAGGATAGAGATGCAAAACTCAAAGTAAAAAAGAGCCTATGACTGGAAAAGGGGAGAATGTGGAATTAATGTTTAATGGCTACAGACTTTCATTTTGTGGCAATGAAAAGGTTCTAGACGAGGATAGTGATGATGGCTGCTTGATAGTGTGAAAGCAGTTAATGCCACTAAACTGTATACTTCAAATAAGTTCCTGGTAAGTTTTATGTTATGTATGATTTACCACAAAAAGACAAACTTTTTTTATGAATGACATGTTCTCATTCATAGCAGAAATTTACTTTGAACAAAATATCATTAGTCCATGTCAACTAATGACATTAGTTTGAATGTTTTTGGGTTACAGATTTTATTGGCTTTGTGGTTTTATGTACTAGTTGTAAATTTGTCTTATTAGCATAATTTTTTTTGGTCAAAAGTAGAGGCTCACAAGAAACTTGTCTCTTTTAAAACAAATCTACATGAGACTTTCAGTTTAAAAGTCAATAAGCTAGCATTCCACACCTAGACAGTGACTGCACTGCAGAATCTGTCTAATACAATTTGTTATGGGATATACAAAATAAAAAGATGTAAATTGTGACATCAAAACATAAAATGAAGGGTGAGGATGTAAAAACATGGAGCTTTACAGTGCATTCATTGTAAAGGTCAAACATAGGTTACAATTTAAAATAGATGATTATAAATATATTTTATGTAACCCACATGATAACCACAGAGTAAAAACCTTTAGCAGATATACAAATGAAAAAGGAATCTAAGCATAACACCCAGAAAATCATGAAAAATCACAAAAGGAGAGAACAAGAAAGAAAGGAAGGAACAGTGAATTACAAAACCACAAGAAAACATATTGGCAATATTCCTACAGGAGATACCTGAAATTTTACTGCTGATGTTTTCTTCTAGGATTTTTAAGGTATCATGATTTATACTTAAGTCTTTTATCCATTTTGAGTTTATTCTGGTGTACGGTGTAAAATGGTGGTCTAGGTTCATTTTTTAGCATGTCCCAGTCCCGCTCTCCCAACACCATTTACTGAAGAGACTATCTTTACTCCATTGTACAATATGCTCTTTCCTCCTTTGCTAAATATTAATTGACCATAAGGACATGGGTTTATTTGGGGGCTCTCAGTTCTGTTCCATTGACCCATGTGTCCAGTCTTATGCCAGTACCATACTGTTTTGATTACACTGGCCTTGTAGAATAGTTTTACCTCAGGTACTGTGATCCCTCCAACTTTGTTCTTCTTTCTCAAAACTGCCGAGGATATCTGGGGTCTTTTTTGATTCGATATACAATTTTGGTATATTTGTTCTAGATCTATAAAATATGCCATTGGTATCTTAAGAGGAACTGCATTGAATCTATAGATTGCTTGAGTAGTATGGACATTTTAATGATGTTAATTCTTCCAATACATGAACATGGCACATGCTTCCACTTACTTGTATCTTCCTCAATTTCTTTCTTCAGTGTCCTATAGTTTTCCAAATACAGGTCTTTTACCTCCTTGGTTAAATTTATTCCTGGGTCTCTTTTAAAACAAATCTACATGAGACTTTCAGTTTAAAAGTCAATAAGCTAGCATTCCACACCTAGACAGTGACTGCACTGCAGAATCTGTCTAATACAACTTGTTATGGGATATACAAAATAAAAAGATGTAAATTGTGATAAAAAAAAACCTTTATTTTGTTGTTGTTGTTGTTGTTGCAATAGTAAATGGGATTTTTCTCTTAGTTTCTCTGATAGTTTATTATTGGTTTATAGAAATGACAATGAGTGTACATTTACACAATCAAATATTACATAGAAGAAAGAAGGAATTCCTACCTTTTGTGACAGCATGAATGGGACTGGAGACTTATAATAGTAAGTAAAATAAGCCAGTTGGTGAAAGACAAACACCACATGATCTTACTTGTAAGAGGAAACTAATGAACAAAATAAACTAATGAGCAAAATAGAACCACAAGCACAGAATGATCGAACAGGCTGACAGGTGTAAGTTGCAGGGAGGGTGGAGGGGAGGGGGGGTGGTGTTGACTGAAAGAAGGTGAAGGAATTAGTCAAAGAACATACATGAAGGACTCATGGACATGGGCAATGGTGAGGGGATATGGTTATGGAAGTGGGGGCAGGCTGGGTGGAGGCGGGGTGAAAGGGGAAAAAGTGGGACAACTGTAACAGCATAAACAGTAAAATTTAAAAAAATTAAAAAGCCACCATAAAACAACAAAATGGCAATAAATATACACCTATCAGTAATTACTTAACGTGTAAATCAACTGCCCTGGCTGGTGTGGCTCAGTAGAATGAGTGCTGACCTGTGAATCAAAAGGTCGCCAATTTGAATCCCAGTCAGAGCACATGCCTGGGTTGCAGGTCAGGTGCCCAGCTGGGGGACGTGCAAGAGGCAACTGATCAATGTGTCTCTGGCAAACTGATGCTTCTCTCCTTCTCTTTCTCCCTCCCCTCCCCTCTTTATAAAAATAAATAAATAAAATCTTCTTAAGACAAACATTTTAAAAGGACAAACATGATCATTACATAATAATAAGGGTTCAGTCCAATAAGAAGATACAATATTTGCAAATATTTGTACACCCAACATAAAAACAATTAAATATATAAACAAAACGTTAACAAACCTAAAGGGAGAATGACAGTATCACAATAATGGTAGGGGACTTTAACAAACAACTATCATCAATGGATAGATCATCCATACAGAAAATCAATAGAAAACACTGATCTTAAAGGACACATCAGACCAGATGATCTGGTCATCCAAAAGCAACAGAATATACATTCTTCACAAGAGCACATGGAACATTCTCCATGATAGGTCATATGTTAAGTCACAAAACAAGTCTTAATAAATTAAAGAAGATTGCAATCATATCAAGCATCTTTTTCAACCACAATGGTATAAAACTAAAAATTAATTACAAGGAGAAAACTGAAACACTTACAAATATGTAAAGAATAAACAACTTGCTACTGAACAACCAGTGGATCAAAGAAGGTATCAAAAGAGAAATCAAACAATATGAGACAAATGAATATTCACTATATATCAAACTTAAAGGCTGAAGCAGGAGCAGCATTAAGAGAGAAGATTATTGCAATAACTGCCTACCTTAAGACATAGGTGCTATTGCAAATAAAAATACTAACTTTACACCTCAAGAAACTAGAAAAAGAAGTACAAATGAAGCCCAAAGTTAGTAGAATGAAGGAAATAACAAAGATCAGAGTGAGAAACAAAATAAAATACAAACTAAAAAGTCAATAGGAAACAATCAATGAAATTAATAACTATTTGAAAGGCAGCTATGCTCACCACTATACCACCAACGCTTTTAAAAAGATACAAAAAACAATCTAAACTTTAGCTAGACTCACTAAGAAATAAAGGGAGGACTCAAACAGAGTCAGAACTTAAAAGAGGAGATGTTACCACAGACACCACAGAAATACAAAAATCATCAGAAAATACTATGAAAAATTATGTGCCTAAAACTTGGATAACATAGAAGAAAAGGAAAAATTCCTAGAAACATAAAACTACCAAGACTGAGTCATGAAGAAATAAAAAATGTGAATTTACCAATTACTAGTAATGACATTGAATCACAAATCAAAAACCTAGCTACAAAGTGATG